TAAGAAGGTCATGGTCATCTTTATGGAGTTGTTACCCTGTAGTTATGGTAGCAGAATCCAGATTAAAGAAAGGTGAAGAGGAAGCAGGTAAGTTAAGTGCAACTTCTCTTAACTCATTGCTGTGAGTTGGAAACAACTTATAGCTGATTCAACAATGGGTTTTCAGAGCTGTAAGTCATGTGTAAGAGAATGTCCAGTGGATTCCAACCAGCAGAGGTTAGTGTTTCAGTTAGCAGTGCAACTCCCTATGGACTAGGTCACCAGTATTTAAGAAAGGAGAAGGAAAAAAGAATGATCATATTTGAGTCAGATAAGGCTTCTGCTTTATTTTGGGGTTTTGTTTTTATTTTGGTTTTAAAGAATGAAAGAGCCTTTGAGCATGTTTATAGGATGAACTAGTTGAGAGTCAGAGAGAGGTAATGTTGAAGAGCCAAACGCTGCCTGAAGGATCAAGATTTTACAGGAAGTTGGAAAAGATGGACCAAAAGGTGTAAGTGTAGTGGTGAGCTTTGGACAAGTAGGGAGATAGAAGCATTTGAGAGCTGGACAAAGAATAAGATTGACAGAGAAGAATTAATGCCTTTGAGTTGTGCTGCTGGAGAAGAGTATTAAACAAAAGAAGCCCCCAAAAGTATAAACAGGTCTGTCCTACAGAAGGTGAAACCAAATTGTTCCTTGGAGGTAAGCATTTTGAAGCTGTATGTCACATACTTTGGGTATGTTGCTAGGAGGGACCATTCCTTAGAGAAGGACATCATGCTTGGAAGGGTGGAAGGTTAGTGCAGGAGAGGAAAACCTTGGATGAGATGGACTGACACAGTGACTATGGCAATGGGATCAGGTGTGTCAGAGATGGTGAAGCTGCCTCATGAGAAAGCAAGGTTCAAAGCCACTGTTCACAGGGTCACTATAAGTTGTAGTAGATTCAACAGCACATAACAACAACAACAGGGTTCTTTTAGAAGGAAAGTGACATTAAAATATGTTTTGAGAATATCAGTTTGACTTACACATACAGAATGGGTTGGAGTAGAGAGAGGTGGCAGATTGTGCAATAATTTAAAAGAGATGACTGAAACCAAAGCTAGTATAAGAATATTGTTGTTATTGTTGTTGTTGTTGTTATGTGCCATCGAGTCACCTGTGACTAGAAAAATAAAAAATCTAAACTACATTTCAAAAAGTATGACATAAATTGGGAATAAAAAGGTATAGGGCAATTCAAAGAGAAAAGAGAGTTAAAATGACTAAAAAATTTAAATATTAATTTGGGGATTAAAATGGTGATACCAATGTCAGGAATAGGGCAATTGAAAAACACGGTCAATGTGGAGAGGAAAAAAAAAAGGGGTTTTAAGAGAAACTGATTCATTGCAAATATATCTATGAATATATAAAACCAAAAATAAACTTAAACCTATTGTCATCATCAGAACCAATTCAAAGCTGACTCTCAAGCAAGTTTTTAGATACAATAAATAACAAGGGAGGAAACTGCCCACCCTTTCCCCTCAAAGCTGCTGGTGGATTGGAAACATCAGGTAGGCACCTTATTGGGGTTAGTAGCACAACTCCCTATAACTATCTCACATGGGTTCCTTCTTATCTATGAATATAGTTGTTGTTGTTGTTGTTGTTGTTGTTGTTGTTGTTATGATGAGTCAGAACTGACGCACAATTGAACCTCCACCATGTTTTCAGAAGCAGTAAGTCACACATAAGGAGACTGCCCATCTTTCTCCCATGTAGCAGCTGGTAAATTCAAACAATGTACCTTTGGGCTGGCAGCACAGGTCCTTACCATTAGGCAACCAGAGCTCTCTTATGAATATAGTAGAGGGTAAAAAAAAATATTACATACTGATTTAGGGTGATGTTTCTGAAATTTTAAACTTTTAAAAGAAATCAATTTCTCTATAGAAAACTATATGAAGAATGAAAAAAATTCAGTGTTGAATGGGAATAAATAATTTATTGAGATAGGACATATAGTTTGAGGCAACTCTAACACTCCCATGCCAAAAGAAAATTAAACAGAAGTTGACATTTTCAATGTTTCAGGATTGGATTAAATATTTCCTAGGAATTCTATTTCACCCAGTAAAAGACAAGCTGTATTACCACTAGACAGCCAATATCTCAGATCTGATAAACATTTAGTCTTTTTTCAAACCTCAGGCATATCAAACAAGTTTTTCCAATTGATAAAACATATACAGTAAAACTAAAGAAATTTCCAACCTATTACACAGGCATTGGCCAGTGATTCAAGAATTAATTTGCTTCTTTCCAGGTTTTGAATTCTGTGGATTAATACCAACAGTTTCTATTAGCACACTATTTTACACTTCTGAGTTCAAGATTTAAAAAATTAAGATTCAGTTACATTTCAAGAAAATTAAAATATAAAAAAAATTAAATTAAAACTCAAGATTAAAAATTTTTAACTCAGGAGATACTTTACATCTATCACAAGGGCTTGGCATGGTAAATGTCAATGCTTTCAACTAAGAAAGCAGACTGGTTACATATTACACTATGGTTGTATGGAAAGTAGAATAGAACAACAAATAAGTTTCAGGGAAATTAAATTCTGTCTCCTTACTTCTCTTGCACTGCCTGAATTTTAGACAATCAGACTGCAAAGAATGAGAATTCCAGAACCTTAATTGTGCTCATCTAGAACCTGTTCATAGAATGAGAGGCACTTTTTCAAACACAATGATGTGATACTGTGTCATTTAAAATCAGGAAATGTGCAAATATCAGGGCAAATGAAGAAAATATTGAAATTGTCAAGGCAGTCAAGAAATCAAATTATATACTGCATTGTGAAAATCTACTGTAATCGATCTTTTTAGAGCAAAAATCACTTTGAAAACTAAGGTTCACTTGACCCATGTTGCCTAGTGGCAAGAACCTGTGCTGCAATTCCAAAGGCATGAAGTTCAAGGCCACCAGCTGCTCCAAGGGAGAAGGATGAACAATCTCCTCTTGTATGATTAACTGTCTCTGAAAACCTTCCACAGGGTCAGCTATGGGTCACTTCCAACTGTATGGTACACAACCACAACATATGCATGAGAGGAAAGATTATCTTCTTCCTGTGATCTAAAAACCCACTGGAGGGTCTGCTATGAGACATTTCTGAAATGCTGGAAAATGGATATGGAAAACCAAAAAGCTGCTGACTGTGAATTATGGTGTTAAGTGTGCAAGAAATATTGACTATTCCATAGACTGTGAGAAGAACAAACAAATTTGTCTTTGAAGAAGTACAGCCAGAATGCTCCTTCAAAGTGAGTACAGAGAAAATAGAAAATCTAATGTAGACAGTTAGTGAAAAAGAGGAAACCTTCAACAAGAGGGACTGACACAGTGGATGCAACAGTAGGCTCAAACACAATAATGACTGTCAAGATGCAGGACTGAGCAGTGTTTTTATTCTGTTGTACATAGAATAGTAGTAAGTCAGAATAGACTTGATGGCATCTAGCAACAACAACACAACTAAAAGGAGGTTTAGAAGTATGAGAACATAAAATTATGATCTGGAATAAGAAACCTTTTTATGTCCTGTCATGTGGAATAATATCCATGAAAGTAACCTCTGGTGTCAGGACCATAGTTTGAGTAACAAAAACAAAAAGAAATCTTCCTAGTGATAAAATGAATGGAGGTAAAACAACTAAAAAATCTGAGTATTGAGAGTTATCTATAAAATGCTTACAAATAATAAAATCTGTTAAAGTTACCTATTCAAAAAGCAAGCCAAAAAACCTGTGCAAACTCTTCCACATTTCCTAAATATTTGTAAACATACTTCATGCAAAGATCATAAACATACAACAAAAATTATCAACATGTTAAAATTAAAAGCTAATATAGTATCATGAGATGATGCATATCACATAGTATGAATTCAATTGAAAGTCAAGTGCTAGGTGGACTATTATCAAATTTAGAACCAACCTGACTTGATGAGGAAAAAGGGGTCTGTTTAGGAAAAGAATCGTCTTTTACATACACATAGTAACCTTTTATGTACAGCTGAAAGGATAAACATAGCACAAGATTCAAACTTTCAAAAATTTACAATCCAACACCTAAGAATGAGGAAGCCATCCTTGAAAGATCAGAGAATTACTAAAAAACATTTTTTTCCTTTTTCATCTATGTTATGAAGTTCCTGCTCCTTTCATTTTCTCAAACATGAGCCAAGATTTCAAAAGAAGAAATAACACTCTGAGAGGCTTACAAGAAAACATCTCCAATTAACAAATCCAAACTTAACTTAGAATTATCTTAGAAGAACAGGGCTTAGAAACCATCTATCCAAACACTTCACTGAATTGAAAAAAAGTTCAAAAATAAAAAGTAACCTGACCAAGGTCACAGGTCAGTAAGAAGCCAGGTTGGGTCTAGCATTCACGTGACCTAACTCTCAATCCTTTGAGACTCTCAGTCTTACAAGCTATAACTGCTTCTCAAAGAACCTCAAACTGATATATTTAAAGAATATCAGAGTGAATAGTAATCAAGATAAAGAATTACTGTATCTATTAGTATCAGATAGGAATAATGGATGGATAAATATGAGTGAATACACTATCATATTATTCACAAAATACGTTTCTCTTACAAGGATGTCACAATAGTCAGTGTTCCACTAGACACACTAACCTTAAACCCACTGAAACACCCTGCAGTTTAAAGATCATTCATTCACTTGCCAAGATACATAAATGCAAGGAGACATACCCTAATTCCACTGGTTCCCAAACCCCTAACTTCCCTTTTTGATAATCCACTGGTGCAACAATTTACACGTTCCTCACTTTCCTGCCACCTATTACTTCGGTTTCCTCATTCAGACTGTTTTTTCCTAACTGGTATCTCAGGCGCCTCTCCCTGACTCTGCAGGCTTCTCTTATCACCTTCTCATTTATGTCTGCAAATCCCAGCCTTTCTCTCAAACCCCATGACCTTCTCTCACTTACACAGTGATGTGGCCGGCGCCCCGAACCAACACAGGGTCTGGAGCATATTTTCTCAGATTTTCTTCGCTCACTACCCGAGGCGGGAGAGGTGCTGACGCTTCCTCTTCTTCCTCATCTTGCTCTTCGTCGTCCTCTTGGCCTGACACTGGTGAAGAGGATGGCGACGACGACGTTGCCACTTCTTCCTCCTCTTCCTCCTCCTCCTCCATTTCTGAGATTGTGTCGAACTCCGCCATGTTGGGCAGCAGGATGCTCATCACGTGACCTCGCGATTACCGGCACCCTCAAGGAAAATGGTTTGAAACTGCCCAAGTATTGGAAGTGAGAGATCAAAATGAAGGGAAGCGAAAGGGAGAAGGAACAAGATTTGAGGACATGCGCCTGCGTGTTAGTGAGCACGGGTCAGAAGGGGGCAGCTGTAGGCGGGGGCACTGGAAGAAAGACGCAAATTCAGTGTACGCTTGCGCGACTCCAAGGGATGGGGATGTTAGAGGTAGATTCCAGAGGATTTTTCCAAACTTACGATCTACAGGTGCTGATCTTAATACTGCTCTTTTGGCTTCTGCTACTTTTATCGGGGAACATATCTTCAGGTTTTATTTTCTATTGATTAATGTGTATCTTCAGGTTTTATTTCTTATTGATTAATGTTGTCTTTGTTGTTATGTGCCATCGAGTCGCCTGCGACTCATAGCGACCCTAAGTACAACAGCCCTAAACCCTGCTCTATCCCTTGCCAATCTTACTGTCTCCGACATACCTATCCCCATTACCCCAGTAACTGAATCAATTCTTCTCATTGAGGGTCTTTCTCTCCTGCGCTGTCCCTCCACCCTCCCAAGCATGACGTCCCTCTACAAGGACTAATCCTGCCTTGCAACATGTCCAAAATATGTCAGACAAAGCCCTAGAATCCTTGCCTCCAAGGAGAAGCCTGATCTCACCTTCTCTAGGACGAAATTGTTTGCTCTCCTAGCAGTCTATGGTACATTCAATATTCTTCTCCAGCACTACAGCTCAAAGGCATCAACTCTCCTATCATCCCTAGTCCTTGTCCAGCTCTCTGATTCATAGCAAGTAATTGCAAAGACCATGTCCTGGATCAGGTGCACCTTAGTCTCCAGACTGACATCATAGCTCTTCAGTACTTTGGAGAGGTCTCTAACAGCAGACTTTCCCAATTCAAGTCGTCTTTAATTTCCTGGCTGCTGGTACCAAGAGTGTTGATTGTAGATCCAAGCAAACTGAAACTGTCAACAATCTCAGTCTCTTCACCATCTATCATGATGTTGCCAATCGGCCCAATGGTGAGAATCTTTAGTTTTTTAGTCTTGAGCTTCAGTCCTTACTGAAGGCTGCAGTCCTTGATCTTCTGCAGCAAGCGCTTCAGGTCCTTCTCAGTGTGAGCAAGCAGGGTTGTGTCATGGGTACTATTATCACAGGGAGTCCTGATGGTACGTATAGTAGCTAAAGTACTAGGCTGCTAACCAAAACAAGTCTGGTTGTAACATTAGAAAGTTGACCAGCTAACCGAAAGGCCATTTCTCTCTAAGGGTTAGAATCCACCAGTGGCTCCATAAGAGAAAGATGGGAAGTGTCCTCACTTGAAATTTACAGCCTCAGAAACTTGATTCAGCGATGAGTTGATTTTTAGTCCAGGGCAATGAATTTTGAGGAATTCTGCTGGAGACATACATAGCAATCAGTTTCCATGAAGATTACAGCCTTGAAAACTGTGTGCTAATTCTTATGTGTCCAGTTGCTATGAGTCCAATTACACTGGAAGGCAATAGATTTGGCTTTAGCTGTGCAGCTTTCCCAAAGGCACACAGGCGAAATCCACCAGCTGCTTTGTGGAAGAAAGATGGACAATCTCTTCCTGTACTTTTAAACTGCTTCTGAAAACCGAATGGAGGGTCAGCTATGTGTTTATTCTGACTGGATGATACACAATAGTGAATGGAAAACATGCTCCATAAAAAAGAAGTCTGCACCACAAGATAAAGGTAAATAATCCAGTAGAAAAATGGGCACAGGATATGAACAGGTACTTCATAAAAGAAGACATTCAGATGGCCAACAAGCACATGAAGAAATGTTCAAAATCCCTAGCTCTAAGAGAGTTGCAAATCAAAACAACTATGAAATATCATCTCACCCTAGTCAGAATAGCAAAATTTAACAGAACAGCAAGCAACAAATGCTGACAATGTTGTGGAGAAACTGGAACCCTTATTCACTGTTGGTGGGAGTGTAAAATGGTGCAACCACTGTGGATAGTGGTATGGCGCTTTCTTTAAAAGTTGCAAATAGAGGTATAATTTGACCCAGCAATTCCACTACTAGGAATATACCCTAAAGAGACCATACTTGACATCTAAGTAGATAAATGTACACCCATGTTTATCGCAGCTTTGTTCACCATAGCAAGGAGTTGGAAACAACCCAAGTGCCCATCCACAAATGGATAGAGAAGCTGTGGTATATTCACACAATGGAATACTACACTGCACTGAAAACCAAGGAACTCGTGCAATATTATCCAAAATTCGTGACCATGGAGGGCATTATGCTAAGTGAAATACCTCGGTCACAAAAGGACAAATACTGCATAGTGCCACTGTTGTAGAATGGGACTGACATCAGGGTTGGGATAAGACTGAGAAAAACTGGATAAATTATGTATACTGCATTGAAACAGATGAGGGAGAGAACAGTTTAAAAGCGATATGTGATAGGGTATTAAGGTTATCACAAGAGTCCAGAATTAAGGTTGCATAGTGGAGTGTTCCTCACCTTCAGCTTAAACTTGCATATGAGTGGTCTGTTCCACAATCAGCTCCTGGCCTAGTTTTCACAGCTTATATTGAGCTTCTCCAGCGGATGTAATGGATCTGATTCCTATGTATACCATCAGGTGAAATCCATGTATATAACCTGCGTTTGTGTCTCTTAAAAAAACGTATCTGCAATGAATAAGTCACTGATTGTGCAAAATTCAATCATTCTCTCTCCAGCTCCATTTCTGTCACCGAATCCATGTTTTCCAACTACGGAATCTTCTCTGTTCCCAACTCTTGCATTCCAGTCACCCACTATTATCAATGCATAATGATTGCATGTTCGATCGATCTCTGACTGTAAAAGTTGGTAAAAATCTTCTATTTCCTCTTCCTTGCCTCTGGTTGTTAGTGTATATATCTGAATGATAGTGATATTCACTGGCCTTCCTTGGTATGTATATGGATATTATCCTGTCACTCACAATATTGTACTTAAAGATGGATCTAGAAATGACTTTCTTAATTATGAAAGCAACTCCATTTTTTTCTCACCTTTTCATTTCCAGAGTAATATATCATATGATCCTCCGACTCAAATTGCCCCATGCCAGTCAATCTCATCTCAACAATGACTAGTATGTCAATATTTATGCATTCCATTTCTTCCTTAACAATATCTCATTTTCCTACATTTATGGTTCCCACATCCAGGGTAGCGTCTGTTTCAACAAACAGACGCTGCCCTGGATGTGCTCAGTAAGTTGTGCCAGGAAATCTGGAGGACAGCCAGCTGGTCAACTGACTGGAAGAGATCGATATTTGTTCCCATTCCAAAGAAAGGTGAACAATATGGAAATTATCAAACAATATCATTGATATCATATGCAAGCAAGATTCTGCTGAAAATTATCCAAAAATGTTTGGAATAATATGTCAACAGAGAACTGCCAGATGTGCAGGCTGGATTTAGAAGAGGTCGTGGTACTAGGGATATTATAGCTAATGTTAGATGGATCTTGG